AAATATAAATATAAATATAAATATAAATATAAATATAAATATAAATATAAATATAAATATAAAAGAAGAAGAGAGAAAGACAAAGAAAATAAAGATAAAGACAGAAAGAGATAAGAAAAGACAAAGACAAAGACAAAGACAAAGACAAAGACGAAAAGAAGTGTACGACTTTATTATTTTGTTTTACTTTATACACTTCAAAGACAGCGCGAGCGTAAGCAGCAGCAGTATTCGATATGTCTCCTCTCTTGCAATCCAGTATCACAAGCAGCTCAGGAGCAGCAGACCTTGCTACGCATTCTAACAGCTGCAAACACAAACCCTAAACCCTAAACCCTAAACCCTAAACCCTAAACCCTCAGCATCAAACCCTCATAATGCTGTACGCAGCAAATGCGCAGAGCACTCCACCCACAGACGGCGCAGCAGAAAGCGATGCTTTAGGGTTTAGGGTTTAGGGTTTAGGGTTTATGAAGACTTGCTTTGATTCCATTTGGGCCGTACTGTTCATAGAAGGCAGAGTTTAGCAGCACTGCATGCGCAGTTTGTCTTTGTTTGATTGCATGCAGATTATTTAAAAGAATATCTTTATAAAGACAAACACAAGGGCCTCGTGCTGTACATACAGAGCACTCGTTATAAATTTCTTTATCTTTATCTTTATCTTTCTTATTAACTTCATCTGCATGCAACAGAGGGGGGCTTAACTCTACACACAAAACAGGTGAATCAGCAGAAAGTAAATCTCGCAGTGTCTGCTGATGCTGCATCTTTAAAACAAAATAAATAAAATAAATAAAATAAATAAATAAAAAGAGTAAAAAAGAAAAAAAAGATTAAAGAGAAAGATTAAAAAGAAAGAGAAGTATAAGGTAAAGAATAAATCAGTTGTTGTTCAATGTTTGTTTAAAATGATTAAACAATTAAACAATAAACAAACAAATATTATAAATATTATAATATTATAATATTAAATTATTTATAAGAATAACAACACAAAGAAATGCAGCAACATGAACAGGGCGGGGCCTCCAAAGAAAGATTAAGACAAACAGCCGCAGCTTTATCTTCTATATTAATTTAAAATATAAAAAATATTAAAAAGAATAATAAAATTAAAGAATAAACAAAACAAAAGAATATATTTAATAACAAAAATAATAACTATAAACATATCTCTTAAAAGTCTGCATTCGCATGCAGCCCCAAACCTTCGGCGTTCATAGAGAGATTAAATTTTAATTTATTTTATTTTATTTTAATTTTATTTTAATTTGATTTTAATTTATTTAATTTTAATTTAATTTTAATTTAATTTTAATTTAATTTTAATTTATTTTTTATTTTTATTAATATTCAGCGGCTTTCTTCTTCGTCTGTCTGATTGCGATTGGAGGTCGGGGTAAAACAAGAAATAATAAAAAAATAATATAAGATGATTTTTAAAAAGTAAATATATTATTAAAATAATTAAAAGTTTATATATTATACAATGCAAGAAAAAAGAAAATTTAATTGTTTAATTTAACAAAAAATATTTATATCTTCTTTTACCTCCTTTTGTATTTTATATATTTTAATTGATCTTTTTTTCTGCTTTTTAAATAATATCAGTGGGGGCTGCTGTTGTTTTGTTGTTTGTTTGTTTTTTCTGTTTATTTTAATTTGTTCAACTTAAAAAAAAACTTAACTCATAAGTTTGTTTGTTTTCCTTGCTGTTCCCAGCTTCTCTTTTATAATTAAATTAATTTAATTTATATACCTCAATAATAATAATAATAACAACAACAACAACAACAACAACAACAACAACAACAACAACAACAACAACAACAACAACAACAATATTAATAATAATAACAATATTTATTATTATTATTATTATTATTATTATTATTATTATCGTTATTATTATTGTTATTATTCTTTAACATTCATAGTTAATATAAATTTCAAATACTTTGTTTTTTATTCAACTAACTCTAAACAAATATTAACCCCTTTACTTTTAAACAACTTTAAAATCTACGCATATATAATAATAATAATACAGCCTGACGAGTTTGTCTCTGCTCTCCTTAGCTATAAGGAGTCATATATATATATATATATATATGTATATATAT